CTTATGCTCAAATAAATTTGTTAGTCTCTAAGGTGCCACAAGTACTCCTGTTCTTTTTGCGGATACAGACTAACACGGCTGCTACTCTGAAACCTGATTACAGGTAATATCTCACCCTCAGAGATGTTCCAATAAGCTTCTTTCACAGACTAGACTCCTTCCTAGTCTGAACCCAATCCTTTCCATGGTACAGTTTTTGTTAGTTCCAGCAGACATCTCTGGTAGTAAGAAGGGGTTTTCTCATGACTGGAAGCCCCCTTTGTCCTGCTCCACTCCCTTTTAGAGCTTTGGCACAAGGCGGGAATCTTTTGCCTGTGCTTGGTTCACACCCCTCCTTCTAAATGGAAAAGTACCAGGTTTAAGATGGATTTCAGTATCAGGTGACATGGTCACATGTCACTGTAAGACCCCTAGTCTCCATTCCCCATGGGCTGGCCCACACATACACAGGAAGGTTTTTAAGTCGTTAATGCCATTTATAACTGATATGTTACACTTAATATGTTTCCATCAGTGATAGAAGTTTATATCTTATTCTCCCAACTCCAGATCTAGAAATAATACATGAAAACAAATAGGATGAACACACTTAGTAGATTACAAGCTTTCTAATGACGCCACACAAGGGGTATTTAGCGTAAAGCATATTCCAGTTATATCATATTCATAAGCATACTTTCCTAAAGCATATGGAGTGCAACATCACACCCATGTTTTTTAATATTCCCTCACAGGTCATGTTTTCTAGACTTTTAATCATTTTTGTTGCTCTTCTCTGGACTTCCTCCAATTTGTCCACCCAGAATTGGACACAATACTCCAGTTGAGGCTTAATCAGCGCGGAGTAGAGCGGAAGAATGACTTCTCGTGTCTTGCTTACCTCACTCCTGCTAATACATCCCAGAATGATGTTTCCTTTTTTTGGAACAGCGTTACACTGTTGACTCACACTTAGCTTGTGATCCACTATGACCCCCTGATCCCTTTCTGCAGGACTCCTTCCTAGGCCGTCATTTCCCATTCTGTGTGTGTGCAACGGATTGTTCCTTCCTAAGTGCAGTACTTTGCATTTGTCCTTATTGAACGTCATCCTATTTCCTTCAGACCATTTCTCCAGTTTGTCCTGCTCACTTTGGATTTTAATCCTATCCTCCAAAGCACTTGCCACCCCTCCCAGCTTGGTATCGTCCGCTAACTTTATAAGTGTACTCTCTATGCCATGATCTAAATCACTGATGAAGATATTGAACAGAACTGGACCCAGAACTGATCCTTGCAGGACCCCACTCGTGATGTCCCTCCAACCTGACTGTGAACCACTGAGGACTACTTTCTGGGAACAATTTTGCATCCGGTTTTGCACCACTTTATAGTAGCTCCATCGAGGTTGTATTTTCCTAGTTTGTTTATGAGAAGGTCATGGGAGACAGTATCTAAAGCTTTACTAAAGTCAAGATTATACCACATCTACCGCATCCCTCCCTTCCACAAGGCTTGTTACCCTGTCAAGGAAAGCTATCGGGTTGTTTTGACATGATTTATTATTGACAAATCCATGCTGGTTGTTACTTAGCACCTTGTTATCTTCTAGGTGTTTGCAAACTGATTGCTTGATTATTTGTTCCGTTATCTTTCCGGGTACAAATGTTAAGTTGACTGGTTTGTAATTCCCTGGGTCGTCCTTATTTCTCTTTTTATAGACTGGCGCTAGATTTGCCCTTTCCAGTCTTCTGGAAGCTCTCCTGTCTTCCATGACTTTTCAGAGATAATCGCTAATGGCTCAGATATCTCCTCAGTCAGCTCCTGGAGTATTCTAGGATGTATTTCATCAGGCCCTGTTGACTTGAAGACATTTAACTTGTCTACGCAATTTTTAACCTGTTCTTTTTCTATTTTAGCCTCAGATCCTACCTCATTTTCACTGGTGTTCACTACATAAGACGTCTGATTGCTACTAACCTTTTGGTGAAAACTGAAAGAATAAAGTCATTTAGCACCTCTGCTATTTCCATTGTCCGTTATTGTCTTTCCCCCCTTCACTGAGTAATGTGCCTACCCCGTCCTTGGTTTTCATCTTCCTTCTAATGTATTTGTAGAAGGTTTTCTTCTTACCCTTTCTGTCTCTAGCTAGTTTAATCTTGTTTTGTGCCTTGGCCTTTCTAACTTTGTCCTGACATGCTTGTGTTGTGTGTTTATATTAATCCTTCATAATCTGACTTAATTTCCACTACGACTCTTTTTTGAGTTTCAGATCATTGAAGATCTCCTGGTTTAGCCAGAGTGGTCTCTTGCCATCCTTCCTACACAGTGAGATAGTTTGCTCTTGTGCCCTTAATAACGTCTCCTTGAAAAACTGCCAACTGTCTTTAATACATGGATATAAATAATCCCCAGATTTTCCATCACACTTTTCATCAGTTAATCACAAACCACTCTCTCTCTTTAGATTCTTGGAGATCCTAACACCTGGATTCCATCTGGAAGCCCCCTACCCAACTCGACAACCTCAAGGAGGAAAACAGCCTGAAATACAACCAAGGCCGAAACGCTCTTCTCCGCTCAGTTATTCTATAACTAAATTCCCCCAGCTGGGTGCGACGTCATGCGTGTGAGACTCATTTTGCTGCAATGCCCTTGACATGGAGTGAGGAAGAAAATGTGTCACCGATGAATGTTTACACAATTTAATGACAAGGAATTTAGCAACCTGTTCTGGGAGTGGAAGAGGAGCTGTCGTAATGGAACTAACCCCATGGCCAACCTTAGTTCCCTTGGGATAGTTTCACTGGACCCCCATTTGTTGTCAATCGGCCATTGCTCCATTAGAGTTAATGGAACCAGATCCCGGACTGGTGTCAATTGGCCCTAGACCCATTAGTCAATGGGGCCAGATCCCTGGCTACTTTCAATTGGCCATTGTTGTGTGATTTACAGCACTTGCCGATCTGGCTAAACACCTCTAATGTGCAAACAGTCACGCCTCTACCCTTGTGACTAAGCTGAGTATCACCTCTTATCTCTGTTGCACGAACCAGCAGACTGGATGGGACAAGTTCTATAAAACACAAGCTGATGGGTTAGGAAAGAGTCAATCTGAATTATATTTAAAGAGGGAGTGTCCAGGTATGAGGGTCGTATAACATGTTACATTTCAGTAAATCATTCACTGTGACGCCCAAGGTATATATGAATCCGATTCTGTCTTTGGCCTAGATAGAGCAGAAAGGGGCCATGCTAGACAGGTTAGTGCATCTCTTCGGTTTTACAGAGAAATTGGAGAATCAACTGAACTATTTTGCAATTGAAGGTAAGAGTTTTTAAGTCGTGTTAAATTATTGTTTGTAATCTTTCATGATCTGCTGAAAAGTGCGTAAAGGCTGCAGATGTCTTTCAACTGCAAGCTCCCATGGTAAAACCCCACGATGATGATAGAGCAGGGATAAAGCGACTCAGTTTGTGCAAAGGAAAAGAAGCCCCACTCATGGAATGGTGTGTGAACCAAATAGGGAGATTTTCAAAGGCAAAACCAGCAGCGAGGGGGCCAGTGTCAGCTGAAACCACTGGGAGTCGGGTCTCAGACTCCCTTCAGCTGCTTCTTAGGAAGAAGAGAAGAACCAGTCAACGTACTTGATTTGAACTTTCAAAAAGCCTTCAGCAAACTCCCTCACCGTAGGGCAGGAAGGAATCGAAGCAGTCCTGGGGCGGGAGGCAAGGGAGTGTCATGGAGCAGAAACAGGACAACAGCCAGAGAACAGAGGAGTTTGCAGCCTTGTTGTAGCCGTGTGGGTCCCAGGATATTAGAGAGACAAGGTGGGTGAGGGAAAAGCTTTTATTTTGCCCAGCTTCTGCTGGGGAGAGACACAAGCTCTCAAGCTCCGCTGACCCGCAGAAGAGCTCTGTGTCACTCGGAAGCTCGTCTCTTCCCCCACCTTGTGTCTCTAGAAAACAGAGCTGGAATTCATGGGAATTTTGTGTGATGGCAAAAGCTTAAAAGCGGAGGCCTCCAAACTCTATCCTAGATCCAGCGTTCAAGTTACTCAAAGGATCTGCAAGGGGGGTGAGCGAGAAGGTGGTGAAATCTGCAGAGGAGGCAACTTACTGAGGTTAATCGGGAACTTCAGCGAGATCGAATGGAGCTGGGTCGATGGGCAACACGAGGGCAGATGAAGTTGTTTTGATCAATGCAAAGTAACGCACATGGGGAGGTCGGGGGTTTGTAGCACGCCTAGACCTGACAGGTTCTAACTGAACCGGGCTGATCCAGGGAAGGGACCAGAGTGTCCCTGTAGGAAGATCAATGGACACCTCAGCTCGCTGTGCAGCTGCAGAAGAGAGAAGCGAAGAAGCCGTTGGGCTGCCCAAGGGGGTGGAGATAATGTGGAAAACACTGTAGTGCCCCTCTGCAGACCAGCAGGACGCTCTGACCCTGGCGCCCCACAGGCAGCGCCGGTCGCCCCATGTCAGAAGGGACGGTGCAGACCTGGAGCCAATAAGGACGAGGGAGTGAAAACTGGGCCAGGCTAGAGCCCTGCAGCGGGACTGGGATCCCACGGGACCCGCTGCCATAATAGCGGGAGCGGGTAAAAGTACTTTGTTGCAGGGGGGGATTGGATGGGCAAAGAAAGCCGACTGCGGTAATATGCGGGAAAACACGTGACAGCAGCTTGTCATCAATAGAATTGCAACAACATAAAGCAAGTTGGTTTTTTAAAAATAAAGGTTTTTACCCTTAAATTTAAGCAAGGGCTAGAAAGAGGTTTGATGTATTATAACAGGAGTTGAAGTATTTTGTATGTGGTTTAAACAAGATTTGTTTTATACTTTTAGTAGAAACAATTGTGTCTGACTTCTGCTTATGTATATATAGTATATTAACCAAACCTTTTTTCTATGTTTTAAAGTATCATGAGGGAATTTGTCTCTCTTGTGGAATTTGTAGATCTAAGGTTTTTGTGGGTGTGAAAGGAATAAAAATGCAAGAAACAATGCGGGAGTGGGTAGGAATGGGATTAAAAAAATAGTCCCACGCCGGGCTCTACCCTGGGGTTCCCACTCTGTTATTTCTAGGCATGTTTGTGGCATGTGGGAGCTGAGAGCAATTTAATCACCAAAACTTTTCTCCACCCAAAAATGCAGGTTTGCGGCAACTGAAACATTTCGCGAATTTGTGTCAATTTCATCACATTGCTGCAGCAGCAAAAACAAATTCTAGAAAAAAAAATCCTGAAACAATGGAAATGTTTTGTCTTCACAATTCCAGACTTAAACATTTTGATTTTTTTCAACTCAAAATGTCATCTCAACATTTATATTTAAACCATTTTAAGAATGTTTTTAAATGCCTGAAAACGAACCCAAACCATTTTTTATTCAGCTTTTCAGTTGGATGAGAATTTTGGTTCAACCGAAATCTGTTTTTATTTCCAGATCTTTTGGAAGTGCCAGTGAACCAAAAAATTGGTTATTTGTGCAGCTCTGATCCCTGCTGCTTTCCCCCCCAGATCTCGGCTGGAATTCCCTTTCAATCCTCATTTCGGTCTTGACTCTCTCCTCCTCCCCCACGGCAGTGCTCACTGTGTCAGCCGTGAGAAGCTCCCGTGCGCCTCCCAGCACCAGGATGGTTTCCTTCATCCTCTGCCTTCTCCCTGCTCTCCTAGCTACAACAAGTGCACAAGGTGAGTCATCGCTGCTGTGGCCATGTAACCCCCCCCGGGCTTGGACCCTTTATACCCCACAGATCCCCAGTCAGGGGAACATCCAGCATGTGCAGGGAGGGGGATTAGCTCTGTGTGGGGTACAGAGCCTTGTCTACACTACGGCTATTGTAGTAATTTAGCCATAGCGCGGTAGCTTGGCAGGCAGAGGCCTGTACTGAATCCACAGCCTATCCCAATGGATGGGGGTTTTCCGTTTCTACAGGAACTCACCTCCCTGAGCCGGTAGCCAGGCCGAGGGAAGGATTCGCCTGTCAACCTGCACCTACTCCAGGGGTTAGATCGGCCGAGCTGCGGTGCTCAGGGTGTGGACTTTTCAACCCCCCTGAGCAGTGTATCTAGATCACCCTGGTTAGCGTAGACCAGGCCTGAGGGGCACCATGACCGGATACTGCCCTGAATTCTTATTCCCATGCAGGCCCTTCTGCACTGCTTTGGCAGCATAAAGGGGACTAAATATAGGACTAAATGACACTGCTTGGGGATCGAGTGTAACCTGGAATCAGGCCTACAATGTCCGGTAGCAGAGGGCTCGCCAACCGAGCAAACAGAGGCAGAATGAGATCTCATGGCTGCGAGTTGAATTTAGACCAGTCCAAGGTGGAATTAACCCTGGCAGAAGCTTCTCAAGGGGCAGGGTGGATTCTCCATCCCTTGGACTCTGTACATTGGGATTGGACGTCCTTCTAAAAGATTGGCTCTAGCTCAACCATCAGATATGGGCTGGATGGCAAAGAAAAGTTGCGAAGCGGCTTTACTTACACAGCTTGTGTGCAGGGCGCTGTACATAAGGACTGAAGGGCAGAGATTCTCCACTTACATGTCCCCAAGAGGTCTGTGCGCGTCCATGTGCTGTGGTTAATGCCACTTGTATCAATGGTAATTTGGGGAACAAGGGACAATGAACGTCCTTTTGTTCTGTTTTTTGCTTGGCAATTTCCATCTTCCCATTCCCCACAGATTGCGAACGGCTGGGCTGATCCAGAGGGATGGGTGCAAAGTTGGCTTTACCTTCCGCACAGGACCGTGTAACTGGGCTCTAAACCTGGGGGACCAGTCCAGTGGAGAGCCTTCCAAATGGGGAGCAATCCACACAAGGCTAGGGGACCAAGACAGCTGGCTCCTGCACCCCAAACCTTTTTGTCAGACCCCTCTGCCGGTGACGTGGCAGCCCAGAGAACCTGGCTGCACTCAACTCAATGGCATTTCCTTATTTCTGTGCAACCAAATAACTTTTGAACACTGTGTCCCATCAACCCCAAAATTTCAGGGGATGTTCTAGACATGACTGGGCAGAACCCTATCAACTTTGGGGGAAATCAGAAAACTGGAAGAGGGAAATCTGGGACACACAGAACTGTTGGCATCTGGCCAGCCCAGCCAGACCTTCAGCCCCCTCTGTAACTCTGGGTAGATCAAAGAATTGGTTGGTGGCACCATTGACATCTTCCAGTCCATCAGCCCCTCCCCCCCAGCCCTGATATGGGGGTTGGGGAAATGGGGGGCACACAGAGCCCCTGGCATGAGGTAGGGGGTGGAGGGGGTTGCATGGCATCCCAGAAATAGAACAGGGTGGGAGGGGCATGCAAGGAGTTTGTTAGGACCATGGGGGGCTGCCAGGAGCCCTGGACGAAGCGAGCAACTCTCCAGTACTGTGAATACCTGCACAATGGGACATCTGGGGTGGGTGGAGTTTATTTTGTGGGCGGAGCTTGGGAGAAGTACCATCCCCTTCACCCGTCCCCAGTCTGACCCCCTGGTACTGCTGGCCCAGGGGCTGAAATTGTGCAATTGCTGAGTGTCCGGGAGGAAATCGGGTCCCTTAGCCCCTCGGCTTGTTTGGAGCAGAGGGGGAAGACTGGGGCTGAGGGATGTCAGAGGTGACACTGTTACCCCACAGTAATAAGGAAACACTTGTTCTTTTTTCAACAGAACTCCTAAAATGTGGCACGTGCTTTGGTCAAACGGAGACCTGCGATTTTGTTCTAGGAACATGCGACGACAACAAGGCTACTGGTGGCTGCCTCTCCCGGGCAGAAGATATTACATTGGGTAGGTGACATTGCCGTCAACCCAGGCACATCCTACCCTGCAGTCTGTCACCATCCACATCGCTAAGGCCAACCCCAAACGGTCCATCGACAAAGCACATTCACCCGGCACAGAACACTCAGTCTGGGCTCAACACGGCCTTTATTCAGGCAACGTTACGGTGTCTTACGTAGCGACTGGAAGACTCGGTGGTTCCAAATCCTGGCCCCATTGAAGTCAGTTGTAAATCTCCCATTGACTTCAGTGGGGTCAGGATCTCACCCCTTGAGCTTTATCCCCGCAATGGACGGCTGCGCTGCAAGAAGCGAAGCTGCTCTGGGTGGAAATGGCCGTTCTGAATCGTGTTAAAAAAGGAAATTGGCGCTGAGATCCCTTGGACACGGCCGGGCTCCCAATGTCCTGTCTGAGCTGATAGTCACCTGCTCAGGGCTGGAGCTCCGCCTTACACGGTTCTTCCCTTGCTTGGGATGCAAATTCAAGATACTTTTTGCCATTTGACTTAAAGAGATTCCAAACCGTCTCCATGTTCAACTCCCGGAGGTCCTCACGCCAGCGGATCTCGCTAGTTCCCTTCATTTCGCAACGTTTGGAATAGAAAATCTGAGTTACAGACCTGGCTTTGTTCATCCTCCCACTGAATTACAGAGAGTAAATGGCTCCTTCCATTCACCTTGTAAGAAGGATGCAAAGCACAACATCAGCTTTAACGTGGTCTGGCATTATCGACCTACCTACTTATCTGCTTCTCTATCTATCCTCATCCACCCCCTCTATCTATCTATCTATCCATCCACCCCCATCCACCCCCTCTATCTATCTATATATCTATCTATCTATCGATCCCCATACACCCCGTCTATCTATCCATCCATCCCCATCCACCCCCTCTATCTATCTATCTATCTATCTGTCCCCATACATGCCCACCTGCCTCTGACTACACTCAGAAAATGTTCCCAGCACAGTCACAAATGGGTTTATTAAAACTTCCACCCACTCAGGGTGTCTTTGTAGCGAGCGGCGACTCACCAGCGTGGTGCCTCCTGCTGGTCCTCCTGTGAATTAGCTCTCCAGCTCCGGAGCGCCCTCTGCAGGCCTCTGTCTCGCCTATCGCTGGCCCCTGTGACCCTGCCGGACCCCGGTGCCCCCTTTTCCCTGGGGTTCTGCCCTAGCAGTACCCCCACAGCTCTCTGGGTCCCCTTCCCGGGGAACCCCCAACCTTGTATCCCCACCTCGCCTCCGTCTATGGCCACTGCCAGTCATCAAGGAGCCCCCGTTCCCTGGGGCAGACTGCAGTATAAACGCCACTCATCACAGGCAAGGGGGGTTTGGACCCGCTGCCCTTGCCTAACCCTCAGACTGCACCTCTGTAGCCCCAGTGCCTCCCTTAGGCCCTTCTCAAGGCCTGCAGCCTGGGGGGTTGCCAGGCTGGGATTCCCCAGCCCTGCTCCACTCAGGCACCCTATTCAGCTCGCTAGCAGCCAGGCCCTTCTCTCTTGCAAGCTAGAGAGAATCTGCCTGAGCTCCTGGCCCACAGCCTTTTATAGGGCGTGGCCCCACCTGTGGCTATTTCCCACAATCAGCCTATTCTTACTGGTTCCCCACCACAGCCCTTCCCAGAGCTGTTTTAACCCCGTCAGGGCAGGAGCAGGGTTACTGCCCTGCTACAGTCTTCACTGCAGAGTTAACATGGGCTGTCACCCGAGTTTGAGCCCTAATCCCCACACCTCCCCCTACTATCCACCCAGAAAACCCTTTAACCTCAGGCTAGCCGCTGCAATTTGGGGTGGAGTTTAGACCCGGGTTCCTCTTTATCTTCCTGAATTGTGGGTCCAAGAACTAGACACAGGATCCCAGCAGCGTCGCCCCAGGGCCAAATATGGAGGTAAAATAACCTCCCTGCTGTTACTTGCGGGTCCCCTCCTAGCCTCTCATTTTCCTTTTTGGTTTTCTGTCTTTAACAAAGATGGGACACAGAACACGAACTTCTACAAACAGTGTCTGAGTAGCTATAAGAGTGACATCAAACTCCCCATCTCCTTCACTGTTGGGAATGGCAAGTATGTGAGGATCAACACCACATGGTGCAACAACACAGATAACTGTAACTCGGCTGTACTTGGAGGTAAGTTATGAGTGTGTTTTTACCGTCCCTCTTTAATGGCTTGTCGACATGAACAGTGAGACGGTGCTGAGCTGGGCTGTGAATCCAGCTCTCCGTGTGCCCCCTGCCGATGCCCGTGACCGTTCGGGTGCTTTGGAAGGGCACTAGCTCAAAGCACATTAACAAACGGTTCACGCGCGTCAGCACGGTGCACGTGGCCAGCTAGGCCGTGGCAGGCTGGCGCAGGGTTGATTCACACCTGGTAGATCCTTACACCCTGTCCCCCTTTGCTACAGTCGAATGGTTCATGTGCACAAGCCCCGGGACAAGTGTATTTGTTCCCATTTCTCCCCTTTACTGCCCCCAACGTCCATTCACTCGAATGTCATTTCTGTCGCCATTGAAATGCCCATAGTTGGCAGGTCTCCAAACCAGGGGGTGGAACAGTCGGGGCCATGTGAAATCAGACGGGCGAGGGCTGCATGCGAGAGGGGGCAGCAGCTGGAAGAGGCTCAAATCTAAACCTCCCTGAACCTGTCAGGCTCCACCTTCAAACTCGCCGGGGTGTGGAACTGCAGTGGGCTGCAGTGTTCACAGACAGTCGTGTCACGGACAGACGGAGAAATGTCGTCGGGCTGGGGGTGGGGCCTTCACCTGCTCAGGCAATGCAGGGCACATCCGCCAGATTGAACGAGGTTTAACCCACCCTGTGACCGTCTCTCTCTCTCTCTCGGTTCTCAGTGCCCACGGGGAGCACCACCGCGAACGGGCTGCAGTGCCCAACCTGCTTCGCTCTGAACTTCACTCTCTGCAACAGCTCAGTCACCCCTTGTACCGGGGACGAGACCTATTGCATCGATTTCACTGGGCACCTAGTGAAAGGTAAAGTCTGCCAGCTGGGGCAGTGGGGGAGCTACCCCGGGAATCTCACACCCCAGGAACTCCCCAGAGAGCTGGTGAAAACTACAGTCTATGCTGGGCCCTTGGCCGGTTGGGGGCATCCAAGAGGGTTTTTTGGCAGGAGGGAAGGAGAGAGGAACTTGGAAATTTCCCCTTCCTCACCAGTTCCCCCATCTCAGTGATGCCGCCCTGGTCCTGGAGTTATACAACATGGTATCTTGCCATGAGAAGAGTTGTTATGTCAATGATGCAGAGCTGGGGAGAGAACCCAGGAGTCCTGGCTCCCAGCCCCACTGCTCTAACCACTAGACCCCACCCCCTGTATGTTTAAGGTGGAGCTAAGCTATTGCTCAGTGCGGATGCTCCTGTTCTCAGTGTGTGTCCAGGACTCCCAGCGCTTTGGGGTGTTTATACAATAACTGAACCGAGCGGTTGGGCTGCCAGGGACGGTGAGAGCCGGACGTGTTCCCCGGGGGGGCCGGGCGCTGGGGAAGGAGCCGCCCCCGGGGATCAGCTGGTCCCAAACTCCAGCTTCAGTTTCTTGTGTGGAGCTGCAGAAAGTGGTTTGGGGGAGACAAGAGGGGACCAGACGCCCGCCCTGCCGTGGCCGGTTACAGCGAGAGCAGGGAGAGCACCGGGCGGGTGGGAATGGGAGGCAGAGGTGGGAACCGCTGGATGGTGGAGACAGAGGTTCTGGGGGCAGAGAAGGAACCAGAGCTGCCCACGCCGAATAACAGGCTGGTTTCGTCCCTCAGGTTCATCTCGTTCACCATTTCAAGCGAAAGGCTGCGCTACTGCGTCTGCTCAGGCCATTAAACCTGGAGCCAACCTGATTTCTACACCCTACACGTTCTCCTTTTTTTGGGGGCAAACTGTTCCAGCACAGAAAATACCCACCAGCCCCCCTCCCATAACCACCCCCTCCGCTAATACCACCAACCCCCCTCCCACAAATGCCACCCCCGCTAATACCACCACCAGCCCCACCACCACTCCTACTACCACCACCACCACTATCACCCCTACAACCACCACCACCCCCAACACAACCACCCCCAACACAACTACCACAAACAAAACAACCACCATCCAGAAAACACCCACCCCTACAATCACCACCACCAACAAACCCACTACCCCACCCAAAACATCCACCTCATCCAAACCCGCCCTCCCCGCCCAAACAACCCGCAGTGGGGCCAGCCCGGCTCTGGGGAAATTCTCCTTTGCCCTCTACCTGCCTGGCCTGACTGGGCTGCTGCTGGTGAAGCTGCTCTCCTGACCCACCCAGCATGGCCCACGCAGCACCTGGTGCCTGTGAATAAAGGCCTGAAGTCCCAGCTACCCCTCTCCGAGGCCCCTCCGCGCTGCCGGGGCGATGCACAGGGGCCGCTGCATAGCCAAGGGTCTGCCCAGCGTATGGGTGTGTGTCTGTCCCGGTACCTCGCGGCTGGCTGGAATCTCTCTGTGCATTAGCAAATTCACCGAATAAATCAGGATCCGAAATAAAAGCCCCCGGTGTGGTGTTGTGTTCGGGTTACCCGTTGCTGAGCCCGACCGCATGAGACTGGGGCGCTCGCAGATGCATTAACCACAGAAGAATTTGCTTGGCTTTGTGTGTGTGCGTGTGCGTGTGCGTGTGTGTATAAATATAAAATCTGCAATAAAAATCTACATCCCAAGCACACCATGGAGGTTGCCCACTCAAGCACTGAGAAGTTAGGAAATGCCAGAACACACGGTGTCAGTACGAGCTTAATTCAATCCCCCGGCGCGTTTGCATTGTGCTACAGCCTTTGATTCCACAATCACACACTGTGCGTTCTCCACCGCAGCCCCGCCTCGGTCAATACGTCTTTTCCTTCTCGTTGGGGCATTACCACAGCCGTATTTCCCACCTGCTGTTCCTAGCCCGCGCTTCCCTGAACGATTAATGACACCTCCTGGGCCTCTCTGTGGAGTTCTCACCACAGGATCTGGGGGCCTCACAGACATTCATCACTTGGTTTGTGCAACAGCCCGGTGGGACTTGGGAAACTGAGGCACGGTGGGGCTCCACACAGGGAGTCCTGACACACATCTGCCGTGCACATGGCCACACTGCTATCCACACTCGAGCATAAGAATGTAAGAACGGCCATACTGGGTCAGACCAAAGGTCCATCTAGCCCAGTGTCTTGTCTTCGGACAGTGGCCAATGCCAGGTGTCCCAGAGGGAATGAACAGAACAGAGACTCATCAAGTGATCCATCCCCCGTCGCTCATTTCCAGCTTCTGGCAAACAGAGGCTAGGGACACTATTCCTGCCCATCCTGGCTAATAGCCATTGATGGACCTATCCTCCATGAACTTATCTAGTTCTTGTTTGAACCCTGTTATAGTCTTGGCCTTCACAACATCCTCTGGCAAGGAGTTCCACAGGTTGACTGTGCGTTGTATGAAGAAGTACTTCCTTTTTTTGTTTTAAACCTGCTGCCTATTAATTTCATTTGGTGGCCCCCAGTTCTTGTGTTATGAGGAGTAAACAACACTTCCTTATTCACTTTCTCCACACCAGTCATGATTTTATAGACCCCTATGATATCTCCTCTTGGTCGTCTCTTTTCCAAGCTGAAAAGTCCCAGTCTTATTAATCTCTCCTCATATGGCCAGAAGTTCCATACCCCTTATCATTTATGTTGCCCTTTTCTGAACCTTTTCCAATTCCAATATATCTTTTTTGAGATGGGGCGACTACATCTGCACACAGTATTCAAGATGTGAGTGTAGCATGGATTTATATAGAGGCAATATGATATTTTCTGTCTTATTATCTATCCCTTTCTTGATGATTCCCAACATTCTGTTTGCTTTTTTGACGGCCGCTGCACATCGAGTGGATGTTTTCAGAGAACTAGGCACAGTGACTCCAAGATCTTTCTTGAGTGGTAACAGCTAATTTAGACCCCATCATTTTATATGTTGAGTTGGGATTATGGTTTCCAATGTGCATTACTTTGCATTTATCAACATTGAATTTCATCTGCCATTTTGTTACCCAGTCACCCAGTTTTGTGAGATCCTTTTGTAGCTCTTCGCAGTTTGCCTCGGACTTAACTCTCTTGAGTAGTTTTGTATCATCTGCAAATTTTGCCACTTCACTGTTTACCCCCTTTTTACAGATCATTTATAAATATGTTGAAAAGGACTGGGCCCAGTACAGACCCCTGGGGGACACCACTATTTACCTCTCTCCATTCTGAAAACTGACCATTTATTCCTACCCTTTGTTTCCTATCTTTTAACCAGTTACCGACCCATGAGGGAACCTTCCCTCTTATCCCATGACAGCTCACTTTGCTTAAGAGCCTTTGGTGAGGAACCTTGTCAAAGGCTCTCTGAAAATCTAAGTACACTAGATCCACTGGATCCCCCTTGTCCACATGCTTGTTGACCCCCTCAAAGAATTCTAGTAGATTGGTGAGGCGTGATTTCCCTTTACAAAAAATCATGTTGACTCTTCCCCAACAAATCATGTTCATCCATGTGTCTGACCATTCTGTTCATTATTATAGTTTCAACCAGTTTGCCAAGTACTGAAGTCAGGCGTACCGGCCTGTAATTACCAGGATCACCTCTCGAGTCTTTTTTAAAAATTGGCATCACATTAGCAATCCTCCTTTCATCTGGTACAGAAGCTGATTTAAATGATAGGTTACAGATGACAGTTAGTAGTATATCCTCAATTTGACATTTGAGTTCCTTCAGACCTCTTGGGTCAATACCATCTGGGCCTGGTGACTTAATAATATTTAGTTTATCAATGTGTTCCAAAACCTCCTCTAATGACACCTCAATTTGGGACAGTTCTTCAGATCCATCATCCAAAAAGAATGGCTCAGGTATGGGAATCTCCCTCACATCCTCAACAGTGAAGACCGATGCCCCTGTTCCTGTTTGCCAGAAGTTGGAAATGGGTGACAGGGGGTGGATCACTTGATTATCCCCTGTTCTCTTCATCCACTCTGGGGGACCTAGCATTTGCCACTGTCAGAAGACAGGATACTGGACTAGATGGACCTTTGGTCTGACCCAGTATGGCCGTCCTTATGTTCTTACAGGTCTTTGTCTAATGTGCTCTTAAAAATTTCCAATTATGAAGAGTTCACAACCTCCTTAGGTAATTTATTCCAGTGCTTAACCACCCTGACTAGATAGGTCAAGTTTTTCCTATGTCCGATTCAAACCACCCTTGCTGCAATTTAAACCCATTGCTTCTTGTCCTGTCCTCAGAGGTTAACAAGAACAATTTTTCACTCTCCTCCTTCTAACGACGTTTTATGCAGTTGAAAACTGTTCTCATGTCCCCCCTTGGTCTTCTCTTCTCCAGACTAAACAAACCCATTGTGACGGGTTTGGTCACAGAGATCCCCTTGGGACTGTCCATTTTACTCTGTATAAAGCTTATACAGGGTGTGGCAAAGCTTATACAGGGTAAATTCATAAATTTTCCGCCCTCTATAACACGGATAGAGAGATATGCACAGCTGTTTGCTCCCTCAGGTATTAATATCTTACTCTGGGTTTATTAATAAACAAAAGTGATTTTATTAAGTATAAACAGTAGGATTTAAGTGCTTTCAAGTAATAACAGACAGAACAAAGTAAGTCACCAAGCAAAATAAGGCAATAACACACAGGTCTAAGCCTAATACATTAAGAAACTGATTACAGGTAAAAAGCAACAGAGGGTCCTATGGCAGCTTTAAGACTAACAGAAGTATTGGGAGCATAAGCTTTCATGGGAAAGAACCTCACTTCTTCAGATGCAAGTAATGGAAATGTCCAGAGGCAGGTATAAATCAGTATGGAGATAAC